TTATTTATTTATTTCCCGGATGGATACTCCGTTCTTTCATCACTGTTAAAAGGCACATATTTGTGTGTGTGTGTTTGTGTGTGTGTAACTATTCCTAAAGTGAACATCTCAAACAGCTGGACACTGAGGGAGACGCAGCTCTGGACCTTGGGCCATCATTACAAATATCAGCTATTGTGCTTAACAAGCAGATATGGCACTTTCTAACAGACGTGAGCTTTTGAGTCAAAGGGATCGACGTTTGACATTCAGATCCCAGCTTTGCAGCTACTGCTGGTGCAACTTTGAGCACACCAGTGATCCTCCCTGAGTCTTGGTTTCCTCTTCTTTAAAATGGGATAATAAGACTTACAGGGCTGTCATGAGACTTGAATGAGCTAATGTTTGTAGCAACTGTCTGCACATGCCTTCACGCCTTTCACAGCATGGACAGTCAACATTTATCACTTGCCCTTCACACTGCAACTATCATGCTCCCTCCTCGCCATCAAGTGATTTCTCAGGCCTTGACTGTAAATAGGATATGGGAGAGGCTGGATGCTGTGTTTGCTTTTTATAGGTTTTCTATCTTTACTGTGTGATCAGACTTCCATGTGTTATGTCTTGCTGCTGTTAGTGTCTTTTCATTAGCAGCCTTTCTCCTCTCTTCTAAAAGTACTGCTTTTAATCTTATAACAGCTAGAAAACCAGACAACTGGATTGTTCGAAGTATATATAAATTAAGAGTAACTGGGATCTGAGTGGGAGCCCGAGGGCCTCTCCTATTGTATAACGTGGTGGTTCTCGGCTCTGGCTGTACATTAGAATCACCTGGGGAGCTTTGAAAACATATCCATGCCTGGGTCCTACTCCAGACCAATTAAATGAGAACCTCTGGTTGTGGGGCCCAGGCCTGGGTGTGTTTAAAAACTCCGCGGGTGATTCTAGTGTGAATGCAGGGCTGAGAACCATTGGTTGCGTGCACAGGCTTTGTGAGATCCACATTTACGACTGAGAGGTCTTTCCCTCTGGTTCTCTCCCAAAGTGTGCCCCAAGTTTGGGCAGCAGCTCTGTGGAGAAGAAGGCCAGATGTTTAGGCTCTGACTGTGCTTGCTAAAGTGAGAGGCTCCAGCACTCAGGTCTGTGTAAGAACACCTTCCTCAGGGCTTTCGGAGATGATGTCAGTTTCTCTTTAAGATGGAGCTGTTTTAGTCCCCACCCCGATGCAACTCCCCCTGCCTCTAAGGGGTTCCAGGGACCATGCTGACTTTGACTCCTGAGGAGTGTAGGAAATACTGAGAAATAAATCTTGAGAAAACACCTTCAGTTTTTATTTCTATTTTGTTTATTTGCATATTTGTTCTCTTTTCTCTTGGCTCCTTCTCTGTCCTCAAAAAATGTATGTAGGTGATATGGTTTGGCTGTGTTCCCACCCGGATCTCATCTTGAATTGTACTCCCATAATTCCCATGTGTGGTGGGAGGGACCCGGTGGGAGATAATTGAATCATGGGGGGAATTTCCCCCATACGGGTCTCGTAGTGAATCAGTCTCTTGAGATCTGATGCTTTTATAAGGGGTTTCCTCTTCCACTTGGCTCTCGTTCTCTCTTGGATGCCGCTATGTAAGATGTGCCTTTCGGGCCGCACGCGGTGGCTCACGCCTGTAATCCTGGCACTTTGGGAGGCTGAGGCAGGCGGATCACGAGGTCAAGAGATGGAGACCATCCTAGTCAACATGGTGAAACCCCGTCTCTACTAAAAATAGCTGGGCATGGTGGCGCGCACCTGTAGTCCCAGCTACTCAGGAGGCTGAGGCAGGAAAATTGTCTGAACCCAGGAGGCGGAGGTTGCGGTGAGCCGAGATCGTGCCATTGCACTCCAGCCTGGGTAACAAGAGCGAAACTCCGTCTCAAAAAGAAAAAAAAAAGAAGTAACTGCAGTTACATGTTTCTTTTTTTCTTGTTTCGTGTCAGGAGTAGAATACATTTGGCTAGCTTCATAAGAAGATTAGAAAGTTGGAGGAGGGGCTGGTCTTGGTGGCTCGTGCCTGTAATCCCAGCTACTCAGGAGGCTGAGGCAGGAGAATTGCCTGAACCCAGGAGGCGGAGGTTGCGGTGAGCCGAGATCGCGCCATTGCACTCCAGCCTGGGTAACAAGAGCAAAACTCCGTCTCACACACACACAAAAAAAAGATGTGCCTTTCACCTTCTGCCATGACTGCGAGGCCTCCTCAGTTATGTGGAACTGTGACTCTCTTGTTCTTTATACATTACCCAGTCTCAGGTATGTCTTTATCATCAGTGTGAAAATGGACTAATACACTAGGTGACATGTGTCAAGCCTGCTTGGTTCCCAACTTTGCTGCATCCATTCTATCCATGGATGGAGCCACTCTCTCCGAAAGGTACACTTACCTCCATCAACTATTGGTGGACCCACTTTGTCTCCTGGCAAAATTGATACTAAATGCGCTCCCTACAGCCTACAAATGGGGCATCAACATCATAGCTCCTCACTACAAAGTCAACCTTCATGGTATTCTCAAATTCTGATTACCAGCCTGGGGGCTTACTTAGCCCATGGGCTTGAGACCCCTTCCTGGTGTCTTGCCTGGTTCATCTAAAACTAGGGCCTCTGTGATTTCACCAGATCCTTTGGGAGAAAAGTTGCCACTTTCCTAATGAATGAAAGCCAATTCCTCCAAGCTTAGCAATAAAGGGAGACTCTCTGTGTGGAGAGGAGTCTCTCTGTGTGGAGAGGAGTGACTAGAATTTTCCCTTGGGATTTCTCACTCATCATCCCCACCCTTCAACACGAACAGGGCAGCTGAGACCAGGCTGGATTCCTCAGACCAGCCTTTACCACAGGTTGGGAAGAACAGCAGAAATAAACAGAGAGAGTAACACGAGCCCATAAAATCTTGTTTACAAGATACGACTTGATCATGAGGGCCCAGGGCTTGGCCTCATCAGTGTGGGGGCTGCCCCCACATGGTCAGTGTCACAAAACCAGGCCTGGCCTTGGGGCAGAAGCTGGGACAGCTGTGCTCTTGAAAGTTCAGATGGACCCACTAAATATAGAATGAAGCTGAAAAGGAGACAGTCATCCCCCTTGTGTCTGGTGCCATCATCTGAACCCCAGAGTTCTGTATGAGGATCTGTCTCTTCCTGGGATGGTTAGAAATGATTGCTCCTTTTAGTGGCAGATAAGCCTCAGATTCAAGTAAGGTTTTGTTGATTAAGGCTGCATCAAGATGGAACGGGGTGGGCAGACACTAGCTTACTGCCTCACCCGATGCCTTGACCTGTCTTGCTAGAAGTGTGGTTTTATATCCGCAAAAGACACTGGCTTTTCTTTAGATACATTCAGTTGAGAGGCAAAATGTCACAACATTGTGAAATACTCTGTGATGTTCAAGGCAGAGCTATAGCTGAGCAAACTGAGGGTTATTTGCAAAGAATGCTGATGACACTCTTTCAAAGAGCTCCCAATAATCATTCAGGGAAGAAAAATACAAGGACATATCAGTTTGCAGAGACTGCTTGTTTTTTTTTTTTAACTTGGAAGTCTGTGCAACATAGCTCTGTCCATTTTGGTGCTGATTGCTTCTCCACTCTCTTCAGGAGAGACCTCAACCCCTGTCCATGGAATGGCCTTACCCTGTGGCCCCTACCAAACAAAAACGTAGCAGAACATAGCAAACCAGCAGGCTCCGAGTGTGACGTGCTGATAGAGTTCCCTAACGCTGACTGTCTGGTCTGCATTTCTGGAGATTGTTTGGCTGTCATCCTTCATTCCTCCGTGGGCTACCTAGTGGATAACCCCATAAACTCTGGCCCACTAATCTTCAACGGGGACAGTGCTGCCCCCTAGAGGCAATTTAGAAAAGTGTGGTGTTTGTTATATCGGTCGGGGGCACTGCTTAGCTGGAGGCAGAGGGGAACCAGACTTCCTGCCATAGGCAAGGCAGTCTTGAACAATGAAGATTTCTCCTGCACCTCTCCTGCCATTTGAACGCCCCACCAGATGTTCATGTAGGTGGAAAACCTCTTTATAGTGGTCTATATTTCTATTTCTAATTTGTGTTTATACACAAAGTACTTTTGTAAAATTTTATTTTTTATTTTTATTTGTTGAGATGGAGTCTTGCTATGTCGCCCAGGCTCTGCTCACCTCAACCTCCACCTCCCAGGTTCAAGCGATTCTCCTGCTTCAGCCTCCCGAGTAGCTGGGATTACAGGCACGCACCACCACACCCGGCTAATTTTTGTATTTTTAGTAGAGACAGGGTTTCGCCATGTTGGCCAGGCTGGTCTTGAACTCCTGACCTCAAGTGATCCACCCGCCTGGGCCTCCCAAAGTGCTGGGATCACAGGTGTGAGCCACCGCGTCCAGTCCTTTTGTACAATTTTAATATGCACTGAATTTTTATATAAATGGAAAGAGCACTGCGTTTTTTCTTTACCAGGAGTTGTTTACCATTTCAGAAAACCACAATACCAACAATAATATGTTCATAGTATTTGAGTTGCCAAAACAACACGCCTCTCTTCATATGCATTTATACATGAGTAATGATTCTACATATCTGTATGACTGTATAAGACTTATTTAATCTTGTTTCAGAACACCAAATATAAAGAAGTACCCATAATGTTCCAGTGAATATTATTTTACTTCTCTTGCGTTCAAACTTACTTATTACAAATAAGTGCAATCATTTGACTACATTATCTCTTCTAGTATAGTTATGCCCAGGCATTTCTAGATCGCAATGTCTGTTAGTTTATTCTAATTTTTTTCCTTTTTGTTCATTATCTCATAGTTAGGGTGGTATATCGATTTTCTAAAAAATATGTGCATAGATGGGTGATATCATCTATAAACTTCATTTTCGAATAGTCAAGGTGGTCTTACAGAAGATTTGATGTAAAAAGGGGAGCGCTGGGTCTGATAGGGTTGGGACCCACTGCTCTAGGTGACCTCACGGAGGATATTTTATTTTATCTCATTTTCACAGCAACGCTTTGAGCTAGGTCCTGTGAAGACCACCATGCTGCCCTGGAGGAAGCCAGATAACAGGAGACATGCGGTAACTAGACAAGCAGGAGCTAGCGCTCTGGAGTCCTCTTGCTATATCAGATCACTATTCCGCTTCCGCCCACCATGTCTGCCCCATCTCCCATGATTTGTCCAGGTGCCCAGGGCCTTTCTACCTGAAAGCCCACCCTCTGGCCCTGTCTCTTTTTTTTTTTTTTTTTGAGACGGAGTCTCACTGTGTCACCCAGGCTGGAGTGCAATGGCGTGATTTCGGCTCACTGCAACTTCCACCTTCCAGGTTCAAGTGAATCTCCTGCCTCAGCCTCCTAAGTAGCTGGGATTATAGGCACACACCACCACACCCAGCTAATTTTTTGTATTTTTAGTAGAGATGGGGTTTTGTCATGTTGGCCAGGCTGGTCTTGACCTTCTGACCTCCGGTGATCCACCCACCTTGGCCTCCCAAAGTCGTGGGATTACAGGTGTGAGCCACCATGCCCAGCCCCTGCTAGGCTTCTTACAAGGTCCACTGGGGACACTGACTGGAAGGGAAAAAATGACTTTTCCCTTTTGGATAGAATTTTAACAGAATAAACACAAGGGAGGAATTTTGCAAAGAACATATCCCCAGTACATTTTACTGAAAGAATGAATGAATGATTTGGCAACGTACTGGGGAGGGTACTGCTGGGTCCTTTGGCACAAACAGTCCCTGGGCTCTTAATAATTTATTTCAGCAAACTAATGTGAGTGTCCCTGGGGTTGAGGCCCAGGTTCACAGGGCTCTTAGCTCGAGGAGGAATACTTCTGCTGTGTCCACGCAGGCTGAGGGACGCTCTTCACTCCTTTTCAGGAAGCACAGCTTTTGAAACAGGAAGCAGCATGTCTCCCTTGCTCTCTCCCCATGCACACTAACATGGTTTTCAGGTCCTGGGGATGGGGGTCTTCTTTAAGTACCAGCCTTTCCTCTGGCCCTTTGGTCTGTGATCTGACTGCCCCTGTGCCCTGGTCTGAGGAACACCACCACAAAGGGATGCTGCCCTTTTTCCTTGTGGGTCTTGGGCAGGGTCTCACTCTGGGCTATGGCTTCCTCTTTCCTTCACTCAGCAAATGTTTTGTGCCAGATTCTGGGGTGCAGGGATGAGCAACGACACATAGTCTCAACTGCTTTCTTCCTCAACTAAACCATGTGACTAGGGGGCAACTAGGGGGGTCATCCTTCAGCAGGAGCCAGACTCCTCACTATACCCCAATTCTGAACCTTTCCCTCCAGACTCACAAAAGTTTTTGACTTCAGTCACCCTCCGTGGACTCAGATTTAGTGCAAGTGACTGGCTTTTGCAATAGTGTGGGAAGAGCTGGGACAGGAGCCTACAGAGTTCCTACAGGAGCCTGGGGGAGGGGCAGCTGAACCAGCCTTGGGAGAACAGGGAAGCCTTCCTGGAGGAGGATGCCTGCGTGTAGTACCAGGGAATGGTGATGATTCGGCAAAGCCAAAGGATGCATGCATTAGTCAGGGTCCTAAAAGGGAACAGGCCCTTAAGTTACGATGATGTGAGGAGGGTTTATGTACAAAGAGATTATTTGCAGAGGTTTGGGCGGAGTGTGGGAGAACAACACAAGACAGTCCAGAACCTCAGGGCTGGTGCAGCAGAGCTGTTTCCTCCCTAGGCACAAGACGGGGGAGAGGGGCAGGCTATAGCCTGGGAAGAGGGAGTCGTGTCATTCAGGTCACCTTGATAGGAGTGACCCTTCCTTCTAGGGATCAGCTAGCCTGATTCGACCTTTCAAGGAGGGATATGAAGTAGCCTTGACCTCATTCTTTCCTGTCTTCCAAACTCTTGCTGGTGGTCCCCCAGTGGCCAAACCCAGCCAGGAGCCAGAGGGCACTGGAGCTGGTTGAAGCGATCTATACAGGACAGACTCTGGGGTACAGAGCAGGCTGGAGAGCAGATCTGGCAATGGCAAGCAGAAGATATCCAGGATGCTGGGTCAGGGAAGGCCTTTCTAAGAGGAGGAGAACATTCGCGAAGGCCCGGAGGTATGGGAGAATGCAGAAGTTGGGGCAATGCTTTCTCTATGTCTGGAGTAGAGTGAGCAGGGATGAGGGGTGTCCATCATGAAAGGCCTTGCTTGTCTTCCTAAGGAATTTGAAAATGTATCCCAAAGGCGATAGGAGCCCCTGGCGGGTTTTAGGCAGGAGGTGACCTGATCAGATTTGTGTTCCGAAATGACCGCTCTAGCCTGCTGTGGAGGAACACTATCGTCCAGTGGTCTGGAGGAACACTTCAGACTAGAGATGGTGAGGCCTGAACCAAGACAGTGGCCGTGGAGAAAAAGAGGTGGATGGATTTGAGACATTTTTAGGAAGTAGTCTCAAAGGGAGAGGAAGGATTGGATGTGGAGGATGAAGGAAAGGGAGGTGTTGAGAGCAGTGTCCGAGTTTCCACTTAAGGCTCAGGATGGGGAGGGAGCAGGTTGCCTGTCCGGTTGTTGCCTCCTCAGCTTCGCTTTCTGAATTTGGGAGAAGGCTTAGCTCGGCCCCCATTAGCAGGACCTCGGGCTTTTAAGGGGGCCATGGAGGGGCTTCCCAGTCATGCCACAGGTTGGTCTCCCTTGGCTATCTCAAGAGCATGCAGACTAGGGAGCAGGCGAAGTCACCTTTTGCTGCCCTCCTGGGACCTACTGAGCCAGGACCTGCTCCTCTCCCACCGCCTGCCCCTTCCCATATGGGCAAGGGATGTGTTTTCTTTTAACTTGCTTCACTGCAGGAGCAAATGAGGTCCAGCTGAGGGGAGGGAGCCAGCCACCACAGGGGAAGCCAGGCTGTATGAGCTGGGGCGAGCGCAGGGCCCTGTCACCCTCAGTTTCCTTCCCCTGGCTTTTCAGAAAGCCCCATCCCTGTAGGCTCGGATTTCATCCCTCACAATTCTGAAGAACCTGCTATCCTGTAACAGGTCCCATTCCTTGGGGTTCTCTGCCCATAAACCTGCAATAATTTTCTTTTGTTGCAGAGTAAATGCTGAGGTGGTTCTTTCATAGTCTAAGAACTTGAGTAGTCATGGCAACACATGAGGGTGGGGCAGGTGTGGGGGGGGCGTCTCAGCAGCCTTTCGTTTCAAATGCCAGATTAAAGGAAAAGCATCTTTGGAGTTCGCCTCATTAAGACATAGTTCTCCAGCTCATCATTTTACACATTACATTTTGCCTGCATTTCCCCGCCTCATGGGCAGTCTTCTGGGACTGCTCCCCGAGAATTTTGGCTCTGAGACTTCTCCAAGAATTTCTGGCAAGAGCGTTGGTGGGGGTGATTCCTTTGTTCCTATCCGGGGCCTTGTCTTCTAAGTCCTTTGCTTACAATGGGGCTGCCATTTTTTTTTTAAAGATAACATGTTTATTGAGGATTTGTTCTGTCTACAGAAACATGTCCATTGAGCAGACATTTCCTTTTCATACCACACTTTTGGTCCAGGATCTTGCTCTCAGAGTGTGGCCAGGTCAAGCCCAACGCTGGCTCTGGGGATCTAGACCATCCTTCCAACTGCTGTGGGGGGCGTCTTGGAGAAAGTAAAGGTGGAAACGTTTAAGCCAGACACTGACCAAAAGTTCTTTTTTCCTCAACTGGACTGCATCCCCTTGCTCCAGCTGACTTGGGGGTCCTCTTTCTTGAGGAGCCAGACTCCCCACCCTACTCCAGTACAAACCTCTCCTAGTCCTACACCCACAAAAGATACTCAACACATTAGACTTGCGCAGTTATCAACTAACATGCTTCCCACGTCCTCATTTACCCTTTCCGGTTATCTCCTCGGTTCCCCTGGTGGTTAATGTTCTTAGTAACCACAGCCCCATGTGCTGAGCACTTACCAAGTGGCCAGATTTCTATGGATCGCTTAATTTAATAGTAAGCAACAACCCCGTCAGGCAGGTACTAGCAGTCTCGTCTTACAGAGGAGGGAATGAAGGCCCCCAAAGCTGACTTGTCCAGAACCAAATAGCTGGTAAGAGGAGAGCCGCCATGGCATGGGGTCTGTCTGGTGACACGCAGTGCTCTCTCCCACCAAATGACGCAGCCTGCATCCCCAGCTGCTTTCACCCCGTCACCTGATCACAGCACACATTCCCACCTGCACGAGCACCCCCATTCCAGCCAGAATATGATCACTGAACCATCTCCCCAAAGTTCCCCCCACTTTTTTTTGTCTGAGATGGGGTCTCACTCTGTTGCCCAGGCTGGAGTACAATGGCTTAATCTTGGCCCACTGCAACCTCTGCCTCCCAGGTTCAAGTGATTCTCCTGCCTCAGCCTCCTCAGTAGCTGGGATTACTAGGTGCACTCCAACATGCCTGGCTAATTTTGTATTTTTAGTAGAGAGGGGGTTTCAACATGTTGGCCAAGCTGGTCTCGAACTCCTGACCTCAAGTGATCTGCCCACTTTGGCTTCCCAAAGTGCTGGGATTACAGGTGTGAGCCACTGCGCCCAGCCACAAAGCTCCCCTTTCATTGCTCCCCTGCTAGGCTCAGTTTTGAGGGTATAGAGACCATGACAGTCTTGTTCACCCTGGTATCTACAGGGCTTGACCTGTAGAAACTACACAAGTAATTACTTACTTACTGAGTCAATGGAAATCTCTCTTCCACCAGCCCCTCCCCACCACCGTATTCTTTCTCTTCTCCCTTCCCAGCTACAGCCACCGGCTGTCTCCACCATCAGATGTGGCTTACCTAGTTCCTGAGTCACTTCCGTCCAGGTAGGTGGAATCCTATCAGAGTATGCGAGCGCGTTTGCAGGGTACATTCCTGTGGAGCCCCCTTAGCTGTGGCTGTGTCTGTTCTGCAGAGAGAAAGTATTTCTGCTGTGAGAGGTCTGGATCTGGAGTACGGAGGGTAAGCCCTGGGCCCCCATTTATCCCGTCCTCACTCACCTGCCTCCTGTATCATCCTAGTCCATAGCAAAGCTTTTCACTAAGCTCCTACAGGATTGGACTCTTCACATACATTATCTCATTTAATCATCACAACAACCCCAAAGGCAGGTGGTAAAAACTCCATTCTATAGGAGAGGAAACTGAGGCTTGAAGGGATTACATCACTTGCTAAGGACTTACAAGGATTTGAACAGGGGCTTATCTGTGGTCGCAGCCTTTGTGATTTTTCCTTCTTGCACGGCCTGGGCTTCTGCTGTGTTCTTTCACCTGGGAAGCCCTCCTGATTTCTGGGGACCTGGCAATCTCAGGGGCTAATCATCATGGTTAGAATAGGTACAATTTTGTGAGCATCTGTATATACTAGAAGGTTCACAGATGGCCTGATTTAACCTTCATCCCTGTGAAGTAGGTGCTGTGATTCTCTCCACTTTGCAGATAAGGAAACTGAGAGAGGTTAAGTGTTACCACCAGTGCTGTCCAACTGCTAAAGTGGGGAGGAGGATTCAAACCAGGCTTGCCTGAGACTGAAGCCCATGTGCTTTACTACTCCTAAGGGTGTCTGACAAGGGCTGGACTCTGATACTCATCTCCTCTTCTCTGGGAACCTGCTTCTAGCTGGGGTCCGGCTGCCCAGAACCAGGTACTTTCCTGCTGCAGGCCTCCTGCTGCTCCACACCACCTGCCTGATGGGCCAGCCTCCCAGCCCCACCTGAACTTAGCACACTCCTGAGCTCCTCTAGTGCTGTGCCTGGCACTGCTGGCCACGTGGCAGCCACGTTAATTTCTCTGGCCCAGCTTACTCCACTCCCCAGTCCTGCCCTCCGGTGTCTGTGGCAGTCCCCGCATGCATGGAGAGGTGCTAGTGTGATTCTTTCCACCGCCACCCATGAGCTGGATGGGCTGTGATTCCTGCTGTGATCGCTGCATGGTTCTCTAAAGTAGACTAAGCAAGTGTCAGCACCTCTGTCTGGCTTCTTGGGCTTCATGTAGCTCCCAGTCTCTATGGCTGAGCCTGGCTCAATGACTCCTCAGCACTGGAGCTTATGCTTCCTGCAGCTCCCACCTGCTTGCTGACCCGAATGCCTGCCTTGCACCCTGTTCTGCCATCTGATACCTGCCTGAGTGTCTGCCCTGACTCCTGTCCCTTGTCTTCCTCTGACCCCTGAGCAGCACAAGCCCCTAAGCCTCAGCATGTCCCCACAGGCCCCCAAGCCCTGCCTCCTGAGCCTGACCCTGTTTCATCCCACTTAAGCAGACATTATCCAGCCTTCTCCCTCAGCATCTCTCAGCTTGGACTCTGCTCCCCATAGAGCAGGATCAATGACTCAGCTAATAATATGGTCTGGGAGTCCCTGTGCAGGACACTATATAGGGCACAGAAACTCCCAGCTGCCCCGTTGCCTCCTAGGCCCACCGTCTCTCACTCCTTTTTGTGTGTGTGTGATGGAGTTTCACTCTTGTTGCCCAGGCTGGAGAGCAATGGCACTATCTCGGCTCACCGCAACCTCCACGTCCCGGTTTCAAGCGATTCTCCTGCCTCAGCCTCCTGAGTAGCTGGGATGACAGGTACGCACCTGGCTAATTTTGTATTTTTAGTAGATACAGGGTTTCTCCATGTTGAGCAAGCTGGTCTCAAACTCCCGACCTCAGGTGATCCGCCCGCCTCAGCCTCCCAAAGTACTGGGATTACAGGAGTGAACCACTGCACCTGGCCACTCACTCTTCATGGCTGGTTTTTGCTGTTTTCCTTGATTCCTATTATGGCAGCAGATGCCCCTCCACACTGCCCACCTCACCAAAGGCCTTGTATGTTTGGTTTTGTTTCGTTTTTTGAGATGGAGTCTCCCTCTGTCACCTAGGCTGGAGAGCAGTGGCACAATCTCAGCTTATTGCAACCTCCGCCTTCTGGATTCAAGTGATTCTCCTGTCTCAGCCTCCCGAGTAGCTGGGTTACAGGTGCACGCCACCACACCTGGCCAATTTTTGTATTTTTAGTAGAGACGGGGTTTTACCATATTGGACAGACTGGTCTCGAACTCCTGATCTCAGGTGATCCGCCCACATCGATCTCCCAAAGTGCTGGGATTACAGGTGTGAGCCACCATGCCCGGCCGGCCAGCCTTGTAAGTTTTAAAGCCTACTTGGAGGTCTCTAAGTCCGGGCTTCCCAATGTTCTTTGCACATGAAGGAATGGATACTGTCTGTGTGACACACTGCAGGAACTGCTGGAGCTTGAGAAGGGCCAGCCAGGGGGTCCAGACACCCCAGGCCAAGCCCCAAGGGCTAAAGGGATGGGTCAGGTCTCTGCTCACCTGGAACCAATTCTGTTGAGAAGCGCTCCTCTAAGCCTTGGCAATAAAAACAGTAATTGCTTCTTTTTATTGAGTGATTAAATTGCGCTGGGTGGTGTGTGAGGCTTTCTGTATACACTGTCTCTGTAGTGAGGTAAGTCATCATCATCCCCATTTTATAGATGAGGACAGAGGCTCAGAGATCCAGCAACTGTCCGAGGGCTTTACGTCTCTGAACTCCTAAGGTGCTTCAGAAGCAATGTCAGTGTCAAGTGATTTAACCTGCAACATTCTTTGCTTCCTCTGTATGTTCTTTTTTTTTTTGGAGATGGAGTCTAGCTGTGTCACCCAGGCTGGAGTGCAGTGCCACGATCTCGGCTCACTGCAACCTCTGCCTTCCGAGTTCAAGCCATTCTTCTGCCTCAGCCTCCTTGGTAGCTGGGATTACAGGTGCCCACCACCACGCTCGGCTAATTTTTGTATTTTTAGTAGATACAGTGTATTGCCATGTTAGCTAGGCTGGTCTTAAACTCCTGACCTCAGGTGATCCGCCTGCCTCCTACAGTGCTGGGATTACAGGCGTGAGCCACCACGCCCGGCCTCCTCTATATTTTCTCATCTTGCAACAAAACAGCGAGCCCTCCGTGAGCAGAACTGTGTCTAATGCGTGTCTTCATCCTCGTGCTGCCTCATATGCTTGGTTCCATGGTTGTTCTCCAGGTCCTTCTGAGAAGCCCAAGGCGCCTTAGGCTTAGTTCTCACCACTTCTGCCCCAGAGGAGTAAACCTAAATGTCTTCCATAAAGGAGGCCAGACCTTTGATGTAGGGAGGGTGTTTGGAAGAGGGGCTGAGCTGCCTGCAGACTTCCTGGTGATTGTGGCCTTATGGGAATAAGGATATTTCCATGTAAAAGGCTCCAAGAGTTGCTGTGTCTTGGCTCCTCCTCAGCAAGGGATCTGCACATGCACGTTCCATGGTCATAGCCCCGGGGGATCTTTTCCACTTTGGGTATTGAGAAATCTCACGTATCTCTATAAAGATGATCCTGTCTTTATGCCCAGCTCCTTGTGGCAATTCTTGAGAGTGGGAGAAGGTCAGGGAATTGAGAAGCAGGTGCTCTACCACACTCCTGCCTCTGTTCTGTCGTGTGTAATATGGAGTGTTAGCATCATGTGACTCTTGAAATTGCTGAGCTGGTCCAATCTCTCCATTTATCGATGGTGAAGCCGAGGCCTGAAGACCTTCCCTGCAGGGTAGCAGAAGAAGAGGCAGAAGCGGGACCAGAAGTCAGCTCCTCTGACTCCCCAGCCAGTGCTCTTCCCACAGAATGCATTGCTTCAGCATCCACTCAGCTATCGCTCCGTTCAGGGGTTGTAGGGGTCACTGACTTTTTTGGTTGCTTCTTGGTTGGAGGATGTTGTGCCTCGCTGATGAGGGGTGGGTATTGGCAGGTAAGGCCACTGAACAGGGCAAAAATTCAGTTGTCCCCACGTGGCCTTACAGGTCCCTGCAACACTGGGCAAGTTGGGGGGTGGGCTGTTTGTGCTGGCCAGTGGCACACTCCCTGCGTTCCCATTGTCTGGAAGCGTGGCAGGAGGGCAGGCACCTCTGCTTTGAAGACTGCAGTTGCTATGGACCCATCAGAGGCGCAGACTTTCTAGCGAGTAGATCTCTGGGTCTGGCTCGGCTTCAGCCCGGCTGGACCAGTAGGGTTAACTGCAAACTGCTCTCCTCCCATTCTTTGCAATTTCTTCCAGAGGGAAGGAATGAGCACTCTGCCATCTACATATTTTCAGCTGAGTTATATTTTGCATAAAGTAAACTTAGCAAACAGAGAACACAGTGAGAATATATTTGGCTTTGAAGCGTCAGTGCTCTGACAGGCATTTCCTATTAGCTATCTCAGAGCCGACCAGCCTGGCTGGGTTTTGCTTAAGTGGCATAATTCTCCTGCAGTGGAGACAGCTCATTCATTAGTCATTCCAAAAGCCGGATACAAAATATCCTTCTCTAAGCCAACTCCACCAACCAGCTCCCCAGCCCGGGTGGAACAATGAAACTATGAGGCTTACCAGCCCGGCACAGGTCAGCCCAAGAGCCACCTGTCTGCCAGGCTTCAGATGATGGCTTTGGCTGCAGCCTTCCATTTCCCTTAGGAACAGGAAGGATGTGTCTTCCTTCTGTTGGCAGAGGCCCTAGGATCCTTTTCGAGGGTGGGCTCCTTCCCATTCCACTGCAGAATCACTTGCAATAGCGCGAGACCCTGATTTCACACACTGTGTTGTTTGTGTTTTTTAGCGGGAGGCCAAAGGTACCAGTGCTTAGAAGCGGCATAGGAATGTGTCCCTTCCTGTTCAGGTCTCTCAGCTGAGCTCAGCCCTTCCTTGACTGACATTCTGCACGTTATCTCTTTTAATCTCTGCCCAGTGAGGGCTGATGTTCCCATTTTACAGATGAGGATACTGGAGCTCAGAGAAGTGAAATGATTTGCTGAAGGTCACACAGCCAGGCTGCAAGCCTGTAGGGCTCCAAAATGCATCTACTGTTCTCTGTCAGGAAGCCTCTTTTGGATGATTAACTGAGATTAAAAATGAACGTCTACATGAAAGAAGGGTCCTTTTTCAACTTTACAAGAACGAACCCAACCAGGGTGGGCTGAAACGCCAGCCAGGGAGGGGGCAGGGGAAAGAAAGACATTCTAACAGGAAGGTTAAAGCACCCTGGGCTGCAAATTGGGGTGGAGCGGTGAAGCGTGTGGTTTTCATGGGGCAGAGCTGGGTTTGGGGTGGGCCAGGAGCTGGGATCAGAAGAGGGACAGGGAAGGGTTTATTGTGGCTCCACTGCCCCGCTCCACTGAATGACCATCTGACAGAGCCTGACCAAGCAGAATGCCAGGGTGTAAAGACCCCACTAATGCCCAGTCAATGAGAGGAACACCAGAGGAGTGCCAAGAAGGTACTTGCACAGAGGCAAAGGGCAGGAGTTTGTGGCTGCAGCCGCAGTCAGCCTCAGCCTCCCTAGAGGGCCTCTTAGTGTTCCAGGTAGACCAGCACATTCACAGATGCCCAGGCAAATGAGGACCCGGCAAGAGAAGCAGGCTACATCAGAGGTAGAATATGCATTTACATCAGCTAGGAATCCTTCCAAAGCAGATGTCTGCTTAAACCTCTTGAGTGGTGCCCTCCTTAGCCTGGAAGGATGGCCTTGCTCTGGAAATCTCAGCCCGCCACTGTGCTGTGATTTACCACCTTCCCCTCATCCACCACACTCTGTCTCAAACTCTCTGTGGTTCTCAAACACGCAGAGCACTTTCACTCTACCGGCTCTTCCACATGTGACTTTCTTTACATGTGCTTCATCTTTCCCGTCTGCAGCCCCACTTGGCAGACTCCTACTCACCCTTCAAAACCCTGCTTAAATGTCAATGAGTCTGGAAGCCTTCTTCATCTTGTCAGTACACATTTGTCTGTATTCCTGATCCTTTGTCTATAGCTCTGGCAAATCATGGATCCTAGTGCACCGTCCAGAATCTTGCCCCATTTTAGTTCTAGATTCCCAGAGCCCAGTCAAGATCTTAGCACGTAGAAAGCCCTAGATCAGTTGATAAAGCAAGCACGGCCTGAATGGCTGCGCATCTGAGAGCATGTGCCGCAGAATCATTGTACCTCAGACCTGGAGGAAAATGTAGAGTTGATCTAAGTGAACCTGATGTTTGAACGCCTCACATGCCCTCCCGGCCTGAAGTAATATACATAAACCACCTCATCTAGTAACTGGCATGTATCAGTCAACGGCTGATACGATTGTTTTTGTTGTCATTTCTTATGGAATCAAACTAGACATAGGAGAATTTGCAGAAAGAATAGCAGATCTGCAGTTGGGGCTGTGGCTCTGCCTCTGAGACACTCCCTTTATGACTCTGAACAAGTCATTTCAGCCTGTTGAGGGCTCAGTTTCCTCATCGATAGTTTGGGATACAACTAGGGTGTCCTGTAATGGGTACCTTTCATCTGTACTCAAAACAAAAACATGGCCTAAGCAAACACCACCCCTGACAGGTCTGAGGGAGTCAGCTCAGGCCTTCCTGGTGTCGTCTCTCATCAGAAATCAGGGGACCAGCTCTGGCCTTAATGGCCCTTCTGGGGGTGTGCCCTTCCCTGGGCAGAGTCAATCCCTAGGGAAGCAGAAACTCCTACTTGCCAAACTCCTGGCCAGTCATACCCACTTTGCCATCCTGGAGAAGGAGGGAGATTGCCTGTTGCGGAGCTTGTGGCAAAATCCCTCTTCCTCCCCCAAACACAGCTATGATTAGCTGTGTCCTCACCATGAAACTGCAGGGGTGTGTACGGGTGACTCATAGTTGTTCAAATCGCTTTTAGAGAGAGCTCGAATGGCAGGGGGGCTTGGTGGCTGTCAGAGGCACCCCGGTTCCCTTTCTCTACCCCCAACAATTGCTAAGATTTCAGGACCCAGGTTTAGAGTTTCAGAATCTTCACTGATGCCACCAGCTGCTTCTGTCAGGACCCGGCCACCCAGAGTGGCTCCCCTGGATGAGGAGGGGGGCTTGGTCTTCATCCCATTGCCCATGCCAGCCCCTCGGGAGAGCTGTCCCAGGGTCAGATCCAGGCCTGAATTCTCACTGTCTCTTGCCACCCTCTCCCTGGGGCCTACCATGCCCACGGCTGCTCTGAAGGAATCAGTCAGTCTCTCCAGGTGTGAACGTCACCACCTCCGGGGCCCTAGCTCCCGCCACTCCATGCCCGGGGCTGTGTAGCTGTTGGCACAGTTGTCCCAGCCTCTCTGAGCTGTGCACCATGGTCTCAAATGCTCCCTCCCACTCCCTTTCCACTCAGTCATGGGGATCCTAAGAGCTCCCAACAGGAGCTGAGAAAGAAGCAGAGGCCTCCTTGGTGGAGGAATCCTGGCAGGCCGGCAAGTCCCAACAGGTTGATGTTGGGCTGCTGCAGGCAGGCAGTGAGTCACCTGGATCCCCGCTGCTTACAGGACAGAGCCAGAATAATGACAATAATAATAGAGATCCAGGGTGCTGTTATTAACTCCCACCTTTCCCCCCAGGACCATGTCTCCTTTATCCATCTGACAGCCCTCGGGGCAGGGAGCAGCCGAGGGCCCAAGAGATTTTGTTGCTCTGTCTTAAATAGGGGGGAAACTGAGGCTAAAGTTATTTCCTGTTGAGCTGCTGGTCCTGAGAAAAGGACTCTGCCTCCGAATGTCCCTGATGCCAGGAAAGCTCTACAGCCCCACAGTTAGTGGTCCCCTCACTGGCAAAGGTCTAGGCTCAGGGAGGAAAGAACCCACATTTCTGGATTTCTCACACCCTGTCCTCTAACCCTTACTTAGGACAACAGCCCTAGGGAATAGTTATGATTATTATCCTCATTTTATGGATGGGGAGCTTGAAGTTCAGAGAGGCTAGGTAAATTCCCAAGGTCATGCAGCAAAGGTGCAGCAGACCCAGGATTTGAAGCCAGGGTGATTTGACTGTGCTCTCTCAGGGTCTCGTAATCCGGGATCTGCAGTTTCCACCTCTGGCTTCCTAGGCCTTCTGGGCCTGGTCTTCCTCCATTGCCTCCCCACCCTGGGCTCACTCCATCTCAAGATTAGGGTTCCTCCTAGGGACCCCTGGAGGCCAGCTTTCATTTTCATCTTGAGCAGCCGTGGAAAAGTAAGGACTCAACCACTTTAATTTTGGGGTCTTAGTAATTATCTGGCACTCACCACCCACTCACCTCTACCACTAGTTATTATAATAATAACAATAATAATTTAGAGAAGTGATGGCAAAGATCACAGCATTCACGGAATCCAGACTGGGCAGAGATAGATATAGCCTCACACATCCTTTTTATATCAGGATGGTGCTAGATTTGGGAGTAAGGACTGTCTAGTCAGTTCTGGCAAGGATGCCAGATATCATATGGCTGAGTGAGCCCCTAAATGCCTCTGTGCCTTCATTTCCCCCTCTGCAAAATGTGGGTAAAACTCCTGCAAGATTATGTGCTTCCAGCTTCTCAAAATACAGTCATCATAAGACAACTTTTTCTTTTTCACCACCCCATAGCCACGATTTACAATGCCCCAGGAGTCTAGGGCCTGAATGATACATTACTTTTATTCTCCAGGCTCCCACTGTCTGACTGCGCAGCTCTTCCTTGACGAGAGGTCTCAGATTGCGGCCCTTGGCCTTGGGAAGGGTGATGGGCTGGGCTGGGGGCCTGGGCTGAGCTCTCGGGTGCAGGGGGAGCCTCGGCTTTTCCAGCCCTCATCCTCAACAGCTGCCTCTGCCAAGGCCCTGGAGCTAGAAAAAGCAAGACCAGTGCCTGAGTGCAATAAATGCTTTTATTAGTCCTTTTATTAATGACGGTTGGTATTTGTTGAGAAGCTGGGACAATAGTTATTCCAGTAAGAGGATATTGAGCTCCCTAGAACAGGCCCTGTATATCTAACAAGCTCTGGCCCCCAGCCTCCCCGACGCAGCTTTGTTACACCGCAGCACACCCTGGCCTCCTAGCAACTCCAAGAAGAGAGAGGAGGGATGGGGGAGGCAGGGATAATCTGGTGTCACTAAACACACAGCCTCTGTACAGCAACAGCAGGAAGCTTTTTCTTCCTTCTGAGAGCATAGGGAGCCCATGTGATTTTGCTTTTTTTTTTCTTCCTACCCCTGGCTCTTGGCTGTTTTACCTCCAGAGCTCCTGGTGATAAGTTGGTGAAGGGGGACCTCCTCGAACCATTTGTTGAAGCATTTTTTAAACCATTTGAGACTGTTCCGATTCTTTGTTTTCAGCTACTTTACATGATTTTTAATGTAATAAACACATTTGCAATACTATGTGTTGGCAAGTTTCCGAGTGAGTGCTTTTCAAACACTCATTTATTTAAGTAGGCGCTACAATTATCCTATTTTACAAATGAGGAAATGAGACCCAGAGAGGTTAAGTGACTTGCCCAAGGTCACACAGCTGACAAGTAACAGAGTTAAGGTGTAAACCCACACAGTTGTCTCTAGAGTCTATGCTTTTTATCTGAAATTTCAAAACTGAATCTGAAAAGAACTGGGAAATATTGCTGAAGTTCACAAGCTTTATTGCTTTACCAAAGAGAATTAGATATTCTCATGTGGGGGATGGTATAATAAATTATAATAGAGTTCCCTCAGAATCAGAGCATCTCTGAGATGAAAAGTTTCTTAAAGGTCATCAGATCTAATCCTCTGACAAATACAAGAATCCTGTCTGTAGCATTCCTGATATGTGATCCTCCAGCTTTTTCCTGAATATCTTTAGTATCAGGGAGCTCATTACCTAATCCAGCAGACCATCCCAACTTTGGGCAGCTCTCAGTGTTAGAAAAGAAAGCTCTTGGCTGGGCGCGGTGGCTCACGCCTATAATACCAGCACTTTGGGAGGCTGAGGCGGCTGGATCACAAGGTCAAGAAATCGAGATCATCCTGGTCAACAAGGTGAAACCCCGTCTCTACTAAAAAAATACAAAAATTAGCTGGGCATGGTGGTGCGCGCCTGTAGTCCTAGCTACTTGGGAGGCTGAGGCAGGAGAATTGCTTGAACCCAGAAGGCGGAGGTTGCGGTGAGCCGAGATTGTGCTATTGCACTCCAGTCTGGGTAACAACAGCGAAACTCCATCTCAAAAAAAAAAAAAAAAAGAAAGCTCTTTTCTTTCTCCAGCTAGACTGAAATTTAGCTCCCTTTAACTTACTGTCACGGACCTACTTTGTCTTCTAGAGTTGGGTGGGCAGCGGGGCAGGGGAAGCTTTATCCCTTTTGTATGGGGCAGCCCATAAGTGCTGAAAAATAGTTGTGTTTTTTTGTTTGGCTTTGGGTTTTTTTTGTTTTTCAGACAGAGTCTCGCTCTGTCACCCAGGCTGAAGTGCAGTGGTGCGATCTTGGCTCACTGCAACCTCCGCCTCTCGGGTTCAAGCTATTCTCCTGCCTCAGCCTCCAAGTACCTGCGATTACAGGCTCCTGCCACCATACCTGACTCATTTTTGTATTTTTAGTAGTGACGGGGTTTCGCAACGTTGGCTAAGCTGGTCTTGAACTCCTGACCTCAAGTGATCCACCCACCTTGGCCTCCAAGAGTGCTGGGATTACAGTCATAAGCGACCATGCCTAGCCAGGGAAAATAGCTTTCGTGTCCCCCTTAAATCTTTTTTTCTCTTTCGGCTTAAACTTCCTTAGGTCTTTCATGGCCGTGGTTTCCATTTGTCTTTTCATTTCCAGATTCTCAGATTGTCTGTCTCCCTGTTTCCACCCTCTCTGAAGCACTAGAGTTTGTCAGTGTTCGTCTAAAAGCGATGCAGGAATGAAACCCCTCACATCAGGTGTGGTCCTGCGATGCTGAGAACAGGAGCATCCCCTCCCTTATCTCCTTCTCCCGTATTCTACATTTCCAATGATGCAGCCTAAACCCACCTTAGGTTTTTTTGACTCTTGACTCACAATGGGTTTGCAATCAATGTGTAGCTCTTTTAGCTTCTTTTTCCAAATTGTGACTTTGTACAGCTGTGCTGGGGTTTTGTTTGTTTGCCCAAGAGCGGGACTTCACATTTACTGCTGATAAATTTCCTCTTGTTAAATTCAGTTGCTTGTTCTAACCTATCAGGGCTGACATGGAACTTACTCTGTTACCCGATTTCATGATATCCTACTTGATTTTGCATCATCTGGAATTTTGATAAATATGCCATCTGTGTTCTCATTCAGGTAGTCACTAATTGTTTTTTAAAGCTGGATAGGAAAATTTTCCAAGGTTGGGTTTATGAGGAAGATGAGGCGAAGTGGAGAGTGACTCCAAAGGAAAGATTTCTGTTTGGATGGATCTGAGTGACAGGCGCTGCGCACCTCTGGGCGTGTGAGTGGCTGGGTATCCAGGTAAAGACTCCCACGGCATCACGCGTGCGTCAGAGCCTGTGACCCATGACGAGGCCGGAAGACAAATACTGATAGCGCCCAGTTCATAGAGCTGATTGTTTCCTATACCCTCTGCTGACAAGTGCTGAGGGTGTGAAATAGAGGATGTCATAAAATAGAAGCAGGGCCCACTGTGAGGCGGCAAACAGGACTCTCAGATCAGAAAAAGCCAGGTGCTTGCTGTCAGCATGAAGACCTCCAGAAGTGAAAAAGAAGACATTCTTGGAGCAAAAGTAGAGCGGACAAAAAAGGGCTTTAGCACGCTGCTTGGAGTTTGAATACAGTTTTCTCCACTTAACCCTTCTGTCATTCCTTAGAGGTCATACCTGAAAGCCAAAGAATCGGGCTGAGGCCACATCATTGGGGTTGACAGCAGGGGTTCTCAGTTTATCCTAAAGGGTGCTGGGACTGAATTGAATGTCACAGTCTTGCTACCACTGGCCCTGCAAAGAACTCAGCCCACTGCCACCGTGCACCACAGGGACTCTATTTTTAGCAGTCTTTCTAATACCCACCCAAATTGTTCTCCTCCTTGTCCATTTCAACCCAGTCTTTTATTTCCTAGTTCCCACCCCTTCTTCTCCACACCACCTTCCTGCTCCATCCCCCAGACCAGGAGCCTGGGATACTATGGCTTCCCAGGCCCCTGAGTCAGATGCAGCTGCAGGGACCGAGGTAGGTTTCAGCGCCTGAGGAGAGGGGCAACTCTTGATGGCTGAGACTAACGGGATTTCCAAGACAGTCATGAAGCAGAGAGAGATAAACCAGTGCCCAAGTCTAGGTAGGACAAGCCGGGAAGGATGTACTGGAGGGGCCTGGGGCCAAAAGGAGCCCATTTCTGGGGCAGAAGAGAGCGATGGACACTGAACTGCTGAGTGGGCCTTGCCTTGTGCACAGCCCTTGTGGCCACAGGCAGGGCATGCGTCTAGGGCATAAGGGCCAGGCCAGGGGAGAATGTCTCCAGCTCTAGGACTCCCTGGCTCCATGCTCCAGCCTTGATGCCACTTTCAGCCTTTCTCCAATAATGCATGGGAACCTGCGTTTTGATGTGCTGAACTCCACGCTCATGCCTACTCTCAACTCAGTAGGTTCTTCCCTTCCCCTCAGAGGGCCTGTGATCGTCGTAAGAGATACCCCTGCCACCTACGTTAGCCCATTAGAGCCCCACTAGATCACCTCACTCCGCCTGGCTGCTTGGCTGGGGCAGGGCCTGCTGGACACTTAACTCGGCATCAGGTACTGTGCCTGTTGAGCTCTGAGCTCAGACCAACAGAAGGAGGCCAGCCTCCAAAGGATGGAAACCACTTATCTGCACAGAGCCAACATTTCATTAATGTAGTAGACCCCTGTTCAGTTAAGTCTTTAAAAATATGAGGCTGGGTGTGGTGGCTCACACCTGTATCCAGCACTTTGGGAGGCTGAGGCAGGTGGATCACCTGAATTCAGGAGTTCAAGATCAGCCTGGCCAACATGGTGAAACCCCATCTCTAATAAATATACAAAAATTAGCCAGGTGTGGTGGTGCATACTTATAATCCCAGCTACTCTGGAGGTTAAGGCAGGAGAATCCCTTGAACCCAGGAGGTGGAGGTTGCGGTGAGCCGAGATTATGCCACTGCACTCCAGCCCAGGTGGCAGAGTGAGAGTCAGTCTCAAAAAAAAAAAGATGAAAGTAAATAGAATCTGTATTTTGGATATGTACATTAAGGAAGCACACGCGAAACTCCTAAGGTTTGTCTGATTGAATGTTTCACTTCACAGTTTATCTTCAAGTCACACCAGTCCAGTCTCTGGTAGACTGCTGGGGTTAAAAGGCCATAGGCCTTATTTTAAATTATTATTCTTTTCTATTACTAAGCAAATTCTCATCTAATAATAGAAGCAAATAAGTGGTCTGATTCTTTCAGGCCTAGGCATGGTTGAGTTATTCATGCTGTATTACAATCTAGTCTATCAATTTCTTTCTTTCTTTTTTTGAGACTGTTTCTCCCTTGTTGCCCAGGCTGGAGTGCAATGGTGCGATATCGGCTCACTGTAACCTTCACCTTCCAGGTTCAAGTGATTCTCCTGCCTCAGCTTCCCGAGTAGCTGGGACTACAGTCATGCACCACGCCCAGCTAATTTTGTATCTTTAGTAGAAACAGTTTCACCATGTTGGCCAGGCTGGTCTCAAACTCCTGACCTCAGGTGATCCA